AAGCCATCCTTCATCTTCAGACGAAATCCTCGGCTGACACACTTGTATTTTATGCGATCACTATTGATACACACAACATATTGATTGGCTTTGTCGCCGGAGTAAAACACCACTGCAAGTTTGCTACCGTACACCTCGAGACTCGCGCTCCTCCACACCCAGGTCGGCTCTTCCAGGATGGTTGAGAGGCAGCACTGCAAGACCCGCCGATCACACTCCAACAGGCTGTCCCGGTGATCGTACATGAAGGACTTGATGTCAGAACAAGCAATGTATGGGCTGCAGTTGATCCTCTGAAATGACAATGTATTGAGTCAATTATTTTAGTTGAAACATTACGAATAAGTGAGTGAGTGAGTATGGTTTTACGCCGCTTTTAGCAATATTCCAGCAATATCACGGCGGGGGACACCAGAAATGGGCTTCACACATTGTACCCATGTCGGGAATCGAACCCGGGCCTTCACCGGACGAGCGAACGCTTTAACACGTGTGGGAGAGTTGGTGGTCGAGCGGCTGACTTTTGTGGGCAATTGGTAGAGAAGAAATTGTGGGCTGCCTCTAAACAATCAAACAAAACAAAAGAAATCAATGAAAAGAGTTAATTTCAGTACATTATTTCAAAAGAAGTTCCAGGGTAAGCCTCCTACACAACAATTCTATCCATTTACTAAAGAAAGCTAACAATATCTGCTTGGACGGAGTATGGTGTTCCGCTGGATGTTGTTGCTTCTTAAGTTAGAAGCATTTTACAAACGTTTGCAAACATTATTTCCTGGACTGCTGTATCTCATTTTCACAATGTTCTAAGGCGAAATCGTAAATAATTGTAGCCTTATTTTGCAAGATGACATTATTGGATTTATATATCATCCTTACTTATTATATTATCATATCTGCGTAAGACATTTCAATCCTCATATTTGAGAAATGCATATGACTTTTTTTTACCCAGTTTAGAAATGAGAAAAGCCGAGAATAGTGAGTGAACGAGTGATTACTGCTTAACGCCGCATTAACAGTCACAGACAATAAATCTTTTGTTAATAATGCAACTTCAAGTTTTGGAATATTGTGATTAAGTGCAACGTTAGTGATCAGCTGGTGAAAGAAGATACTTGATAGCCCCCAAAGCATTGTTTTGGCTTCATACTCACATCCATGTGTCCCGGAAGTTGTTTTGTGGCACCCTGAAAAGGAAATAGAGGGAATTACAAATTCACAAAGATTAAATAATTTCTAATATTCTAGTCTGGTCATTCTCTGCCACAGATATAACGGCTTGGGGACAACCACCTGACGCACCAACACACCCAAATCATTGCACATACACTATGCACTTCCTCCGTGTGGGTGACAACGAGGTCATGCTTACTTATGACCATACGCTGAAAGGTCAACAAAATCGGGCCGAGCCGTTGGTATTGTTGATTTTCATTATTTACAGTAACACGTTACGTCTCCACTTTGCGTGAATGCAATCCGGGATAGAATAGGTCTTCAGAAACGCATGCTTGCCGTAAGAGGCGACTCTGCTTGTCGTTAGAGGCGACTAACGGGATCGGGTGGTCAGGCTCGCTGACTTGGTTGATGCATGTCATCGATCCAAATTGCGTTGATCGATGCTTATGATATTAATCACTGGAATGTCTGTTCCAAACCCGATGATTTACAGACCGCCGTCATATAGCTGGAATATTGCTGAGTGCGGCGTTAAACAACAAACAAACAAACACCATAGTGCACGCTGGGATATCATCGGGAGAAGTGTACGCCGACGTCAAAGGGAACCTGCTACGTTAGTCAAACAATGCCAGGGGCTGCAAAATGAACAAGACTCGCTCAAATTGTCATTGGAAGATTGATTCGAACCACGCCATCCCAAACATTTATTTTTTAACTATCACCCCTGTCGTCTTTCTTGGTTGTTACCTCATTGTATTTCTGTAATCCTCTATTACTTTCGAATACTCCTACTGTCGTTATATTTTGACCTATTATTTTTAATTATGACTTAAACAAGTACCGCAAAAGCGTTTCCCTCTGTGCATAAAGTAAGAGATTGATCATGTGTGTGTGTGTGTGTGTGTTTGTGTGTGTGTGTGTTTGTGTGTGTGTGTGTGTGTGTGTGTGTGTGTGTGTGTGTGTGTGTGTGTGTGTGTGTGTGTGTGTGTGTGTGTGTGTGTGTGTGTGTGTGTGTGTGTGTGTGTGTGTGTGTGTGTGTTGTGTGTTTGTTGTGTGTTCGTGTGTTTGCGTGTGTGTGTGTTTGTGTGTGTGTGCATGGGAGTTTGGAAAATATTTACACTGCTTATTGTATCACAAACAGAATCTTCGGACTTTGACCAGGCTTCATTTGTTAATTTGCAAATGATGTCATTTCATATTGTAACATCGTGGGACTATAAAATAATGACGTTATAGTCTCTTCGCGTGTGGCCGACACTTAAAGTTTCCATATTCAGGTGTCGTTGCATGATATTGATCCGTTATTTGTAGATATCTCGCCCCCAGTTAACGCAATGCTCTCAGGTGTGTCCACTTATAATAATGATACATTGACAACCGTTCACTTAGAACTATATCGACTGATACACTGAGTGGATAACACTGGAGAAATATTAATACTTAATGTCTGAGTTCACTCAGTATTTTAATTGTTGTGACAGTAACTGTGATGGTTTCGGCGAATTGTTTTCTTACAGCTGCATGGGTTTCCCACCCAGCCCAAAAATATAATTCAGGAGGATAAGGGGGTTAGGGTTGGGGCGTTTTAGTTTGTTCCTGGACTGTGTTCACTGTGAGCGAGTTGTACGGCGTCTGACTGTATGTGTGATATCATTTGATAGTTTATAGTGTATTCCACATATGTTGGGCTTATTTTATCTTTCTCGAACTATACATAGCCAATGTAGCAAAATAGTAGCAGCCACCAATCTGTAGTCTGATTGGGGGGGTTTACTCCCGCTATGCACGAACGTCTTGGTGTCTTAATCACGCCCCTGTTGTCACAAACATCTGATCATTTAGACGCTTTAATCTTGAACATTGAGAATACATTGAGAATGCATTGAGAAAGGTCAGAGAGTTTGACTGATGATCGTTCACGAATATCCTCGATACGACCCATCCTAGTGAACAAAATTGCACATCGTCTATCGCAGTATCGACTCCATCTTTGTCTCGACTAACAGTTACAGTCTACTTCAATCGAGGCCGCCTCCGTGGTCTAGTGGTAGCGCGTCCGCCCGGAGAGCGGAAGGTCCGGGGTTCGATCCCCGACCGCGTCATGCCAAAAGACGTTAAAAGATGGTACGTGTTGTTACCCTGTCTGGCGCTCGGCATTAAGGGGCTAAAACAAGGACTGCTCGGAGTCAGTATACTGTGTCTGAGTGGGGTATTCATGTTAAACTGCGGCATGGTATCTCATTGAGCTAGCACTATAAATCGGCATCAGCCCGGACTAGTACAAGCAGCCACACAAACACACACACGTACATGCACGTCGCTATATAAGTGCAATCATCTTGGACGCGACGTTAAACCCAATTCACCTCACCTACTTCAATCGATGTGATAGAGTTGCTAATTATCTTAATAATGACTCGGACAGAGATTCAAAATGCATGATGCATAAGTTTAGTCTATTAACATAATTCGATAACCATACCACACCATTCAACCAATATTATACGCCTCTGAACTGCGGGGCCTTGTAATGTCAGTTATGATTGAAAGAATCCATTTTATTTCAAGCGTATACTTAGAGTTAAGCAATCAACTCCAAGCTTTATTATTACGATCTACGAATTCTCACTGAACATATCTATGTCTGTATATGTGTACAGATGTATTTATATCCTCTCTGTATTACATGTTGTGATTTATGAGGATACACTTGTGTGACATGGCCGGGTCACCCTTGGGTCCAGGAACAGCTTCACAATCTGCCGCATCGCGATACCCATGGCGTACCATATGTTCTCATTCTTTGACAAAGGTCGGATGAACTGTGTGCCACTCCTCTCCCCTCACCCCAACCCACCCCGACCCATCCCACCACACCACACCACACCACACCCCACCACACCCCACCCCTTCGCCCGGTACGTTTGTCAAGTCGTTGCGCCGTGTGTTAGAGGCGTGTGGGTTGTCACCTTAAGATTACAGAGGATATTCATTTAGGAGGAGCGGAGGGATCTTTTGCATTTAGATATCGGCTTGCCACAAGTGTTGATAACATTACAAAGGGACTAGAAGTAAAAAGCCCTTGAGCGCCACATACCGCTGTATGTCACAACAATAGATAAGAAAAAGAACACGAAAAATCAAGTCAAGCCTGGAGCATTACAACCGTGTTGTATAAACCTGGGCAGTGCATAAGGAGTGAGTGAGTTGGGTTTAACACCGCTTTTAACCGTATTACAGTTATACAGTCAGCTCAAAGTGGGAGGAAAGCCCGAAGTGATGCAGGTCTCGGACATTTACCACTTCGGCGAAACCCACGAGCACGGGTATGGTATTGACAACCTAGAAACATGATTTGGGCGAACCGGGATACGAACCCACAATCATAGGTTTCTGGCGTGGCCAAGGAACGCAACTCTGCACAGCGAATCGCGCCCCCTCAGTAAATAAGGAAGAGAATTTATGGATGCCACAATAATTCTAGTTTCATCATAAAATAATATTTGTACTGATTATACCGTTTCCCTTTTTCGAAGAGGTTTTCATGACCCTAACTGTTGTTTGAACTTTCCGGGCGAAACGAACCATGGATACGGAGTTAGTCCTTGTATTTTTGTGAAGTTTCATAACAGCAATTTTCCGGAACCTGGAGCTTCCAGACAAACGAGGTCATGGCTAACTGGGTTTCATTACACAGCAATATTTCACAAAGAATCCTGGAACATTTCTAATTAAGACAGAAATGATTACTTACGGGAAGCACTAATTCTATAAATATTTTTCCACGAAAGGTTTATTGATGTCAGTTGAGTACAGTGACTCGGCCGCTCACCACATCTACCTGATCCGACCTGAACATGGGCAACACGGTAAGTAGATTCTGTAATGTTGTCTGTTGTTTCACGACGCGAACACCTAGTATCATCCCCATTTGAAAGTGTTTCATAAACACACGTTTATAATACAGTCAGAATCGTACAGTCGACTTTCTTTTGACTGTGAAAGGGGTTTGCGGTGTTCTTTAATATGTTCCTTAAGTAGGTATATTTATTCTCATTTCGACAAGTTTATTTCGTGGTAGGTTCATTCATTCAAGTTGTGAAAGGCATAATATATTGTGGTTTACCTCATGCCCTCTGAATGGGAACGCTATAGGTTCGTCCGGACATTACAGTTGTGATGGCAGGTTAGGCAAATGAACATTTGCAATAAATTGGTGACTGGTTACCATTCTGATAAACATGACTGTAATGTCGCGTACACCATTTCAAGTATCTGGTCATGCAAAACATAGAACACATTTCATTGAAATAGCGCAGTGTACAATAGCTTTCGTAAGACCCCTTTCCCAATATGGCAAACGCGGAGGAGATATGTTTACATTTGTTTGTGGCCTTCTCATTGGCAACGACCCAAATATAAGAACACAAAAACACAGTGGAACGTGTGACATAAACGTTCATGCATAAGATGTTTGTCGCAACACTTATCTTTGTTCTAATACTTGGTATTAACATTTCTAGTTCATGACTCCCTACTCCCTAAAGAGTATATTTGAACCCCGGGCGATGTATTTCTGCATCCACCTCAACAACAAATCACGTCATAGATAAACAATGCAGTTTACTTTCACCCTTATTTCAGGTTGAATATCAAAAGAAATCGTCAGCGCATGCTCCAACTGTTTTGGTGAGTACTTCTGTCCTGTCATAATGTACTCTTAAAACATCACGTAGCGTAAAGGTAGGAAAATATATTTAAACGAGGAACAGTACAAGATATTCAGCAAAGATATTGAAGAGAGAATACTTGATGATTGTAGTCATCTCAGTTATCGGTACATAGGAAATGTCCATGGTGAAGGTCAGCTACCATCAATAACGCATATGTCCCCCGTTGGAATCGATAGCGTCCTGACATCTCCTGTCCATGACAGAGACGAGTATGCGAATCACATCCTGGGGAATGGTCGCCCACTCGGCCTGCAACACAAAAGCCAACTGCTGCAACGTCTGCCGTTGTGGTCGACGTCGGCGTAGCCGTCTATCCAATTCTTCCCACAGGTGCTCTGTCGGATTCAAATCCAGGGATCTGGAGGACCAGGGGAGAAAAATGTGGACAGGCTCTTGTGATCCGTTGCGTATGCGGTAGAGCGTTGTCCTGCTTGAATACACCGTTGCCTCCTGCTGCAATTGGGAGGACGTGTGGTAGGAGAATTTCGTTGCTGTATCGTTGAGCAGTAAAATTGACCTGGATGTGGACCAGACCTGTCCTGCCAAGATGAGAGATAGTCGCCCACATCATAACGCTACCCCCACCAAACATGTCCACTTCCTGTACGTAGTTTCCGGCATAACGTTCTCCCCGACGTGGTCTTCCATCCTCTCGACGGAGGTGAAATCTTGATTCGTCGCTGAATCAGACACCTCTCTATCGCAGTTGAGGCCATACCAACCTCAAAGACTTCAAAATCAGAAAACTACAAGAAGCCATCAACATCAAAAGACTCCAACTCCAACCACAATCCTTTTTACTGTTTACATTACTGGCTTCCCCCTTTGATTCATATCACAGGCGACCAGTGAAGATTCCGAGATAGAATAGGTCTTCAGCAACCCATCCTTGTCGTAAAAGGTGACTATGCTTGTCGTAAAAGGTGGTCAGGCTCGCTGAGTTGGTTGATACATGACATCGATCCCAATTGCGTGGATCGATGTTCATGCTGTCAATCACTGGATCGTCTGGTCCAGACTCGATTATTTACAGACCGCCGTCATATAGCTGGAAAATTGCTGAGTGCGGCGTTAAACAACAAACAAACAAACAAACCATACAACAGGCTACACCGGGAAATATGTTCTATCCTTCTGTGTACATAACAGGCTTCCCCACGCCAGTGTAACTGCATCTTCAACCTACTCAAATGAAGAAACACTGCCTCCTATCCCGTATAAATACTTGTCAACCAAACTCTGAACATCACTTGGTTGATAACTGAGTTATAACCTACACCGAAACGTCGCTCATATTTGTAATAAAGAAATTGTTCATCCATATATCTTATCCTTACTTAAGGTCACTTGTTCTCTGACAAGGAAATCAAAAACACTGGATGACGATGACTGCCGGACTTTTCCGAATGGTGACGGAAGCCGGGCAAATTAAGCGGAGGAGCGGTGTGATCACCAGGCCGTGACTAGACTGGTTTTCGACCAAGTGACAGTGACATCATTTGATATGTCACTTAGACCAAGTTTAGTTGGTTGGTTGGTTTGTTGTTTAACGCCGCACTCAGCAATATTCCAGCTATGTCGACAGTCTGTAAATAATCGAGTCTGGACCAGACAATCTAGTGATTGATATCATGAGCATCGATCCACGCAATTATTCACCTTTCTCAGGTTTATATAAAATGTTATGATTTATAATGAAAACGAAGCAGTAACGCCTCAGGAGAATATTAAATTTACACGCACAGATGGATTTCAAGCATTATGTGTCAAGTTTATACTTCATTTAATGAGCAAGGAGAAATTACTTCGCAGCTCGCCGTATAGAGGTAATTTCATCTTTTATTTTGTATTCCTAACTTTTCTTTTGTAGTTCGTAGTTCTTCCCACTGACACGACCTTAAAGAACATAATCATTGTATGGAAGCACCACAACATAAACTGAATTTGGTCAGACCCGTGAAGATTCCGGGGTAGAATAGGTCTTCAGCAACCCACGCTTGCCGTAAAAGACGACTATGCTTGTCCTAAGAGGCGACTGACGGAATCGGGTGGTCAGACAGGCTGACCTGATTGATGCAGGTCATCGTATCCCAAATAACTGATGCTCATGATATCAATCACTGGATTGTCTGGTCCAGACTCGATTGTTTACAGACGTCGTCGTTTAACAACAACCAAACAAAACAAACAAACACTCATGTCGATGTCGTGTATGCAGGTTGAAGTTGACGAAAGTCATTTATCGATGCGCATTTTCCTGTTTCAGCTTCAAGTGCAGGAAGTCAACAAGAGGACGCTGGGAAAGCTGATCATCAAGACTGTCGGCCACGAAGGTACAGAGACAGACGAGAAGGGGACGTATCTACGGCGACAGATCCAAGTCTGAATCTCTTACCTGGAACATTACACGCCTGCAGTGTGGCGGGATGCTACAGTGACGTTCATTGGCTTACAGGGTCATGAATATGTGGTATCCTCTGGCCGCGGACGCTACAGATTCATGGTCCACCTTGATGCTCGAGACGAAATAACCTTTTCAAAAATGAAATAAGAAAATGCTATAATGAGACTGCAACTAGAGCATAACTACACCGTTACATGTGCACATGTGTATGCCAGTCTCCTTTCGAAACGTGTGTGGCGGTCGGGTAGTCTAGTGGTTAAAGCGTTCGCTCGTCACGCCGAAGACCCCGGTTCGATTCCCGACATGGGTACAAGTGTGAAGCCCATTGTTTGGTGTCCTCCCCCGTGATATTGCTGGAATATTGCTCAAAGCGGCGTAAAACCATACTCACTCACTCTAAACGTGCACGTAATGCAAATGCAAAGTTAAACAGCAGTTATTCTCCAATCCACTTTTCCTTTAATCCACTGCATAACAACAGGAACAACCCGACAGTATGTGTTTATCTCAGTATCTTTACAGCACACACCTTCTAGGGGTTCTCGGTTTACATGCATGTGCATGATATGCAAATTTGCATGTTTTCTTGATCTGGGTGTTGTGCTAAGAAAGGTCCTAAATAGTGATAATAATCTAAATTCTGATGTATCTTTGAACATGAGATAACTGTCATATAATAAAGTACGTTTGGTCACTAGTATTAATAACGTTGATTATTCCACGATTTTGGCAACAGCCTCGCTACCTGCTCCAGATTTGTTTGTTGTTTATCGCCGCACTCAGCAATATTCCAGCTACATGACAGCGGTCTGTAAATAATCGAGTCTGGACCAGACAATCCAGTGACAGACGGGATCGATGACATGCATCAACCAAGTCAGCGAGCCTGACCATCCGTTCCCGTTAGACTTACGACAAGCTTAGAACTATTCTAACCCGGATCTTCACGGGTCACCTACTCCAGGTGATAACCGCCACTTGATATGTAGCGTAAACATGATTTGCAAGGAATACATGTCGAATGGAAGCTTTGTCAGACGAATAGAACATAGCTTACTACCCTCATGCTTTTAATGGCTTTTCCACAAAACCAACTGACCCACTATGGACACGATCGACCTTTTCCTCTGAAAATAGACTTTTGGTGACTCGTAGTCATTGTAAGCCATGATCATATTTGACCCGTCGACCTCGCTATCACATGACCCTCACATGATGTTAACATTCTAGCTCGAAGACGTCAACCATTGAAGCCTTCTCAGACGGAAAGGCTGCAGAAAATTGGTAATCTGGTAGCAGTCTGTGATTATTCAAGACGACAGATCACTACTAAAGTGCATCTAATGTGACGGAAGCTACCGTTGGCACAAATCACTCCATTGCAGGTGCCCTCTTGTTTACAGTCACCATGTTGGAACTATTTTCCAAATGTTTGGTCGCCTTTAACGACCAGCTTAGGTTGTTTGATCATGCTAGGAACCTCATCCACTATATCTCCAGGGCACGCATTTCGGTAAACCTACACTAATCCCTGAATACACCCGTGAGGTTTTCGCGATGTTACGTTTCCTGCCTTTGTTGTTACGCTGACTGGCGCTCGGCATTCAGGAGCTATAACAAGGACAGGTCGGGTTGAGTCAGTATACTGTGTTTGAGTGGGGTATTCGTGTTAAACTGTGGCATGGTATGAGCTAGCACTATGAACTCGGCATTAGTCTGGACTAGTGCAAGCACCCACCCACACACGCACACACGCACACACGCACTCACGTGCAGCCACGCACCAACAGGTTCTTCATAGTATGAGCAAAGTCCCATGCCGTCAGAGGAAGTTGCCTTTATTAGAAATAAGAGTATTGGAATAAATGATAATATTCATACGGCTAAAGACGTTACATTTCCCTTATTAAGATTGACTTTATACAAATTTTCACGAAACTATGAAATATGCTCTGACTATTTAAACAGTTTTCGATTTCTTTTGATATTCAACCTGAAATAAGAGTAAAAGTAAACTGCATTGTTTATCTATGACATGATTTGTTGTTGAGGTGGATGCAGAAATACATCGCCACAGGGTTCAAATATACTCAAATACAAAGAAACAAGCGTTGAAACCAACATCCTATGCATGAACGTTTATGTCACACGTTCCACTGTGTTTTTGTGTTCTTATATTTGGGTCGTTGCCAATGACAAGTCTACAAATACTAGTATATGTAAACTTATTCAGAGCGGGGTCTTACGAAAACAATTGTACACTGCAGTTCTTCAATGGAATGTGTTCTATGTTTCGTGAATATCTTTTATCGGGTAGCATAACCCTATCCATGAGGTCCTATGGTTCGTAGGATTTACACATACATACAGAAAGAATCGGACCTGTTAAGGTCTGGGGTAGAATATGTCTTCAGCAATCCATGCTTGCCGTAAAAGGGGACTATGCTTGTCGTAAGAGGCGACTAACGGGATCGGGTGGTCAGGCTCGCTGACTTGGTTGATGGATGTCATCGTATCCTAATTGCGTGGATCGATGCTCATGATGTCAGTCACTGGATTGTCTGGTCCAGACAAGATTATTTACAGACCTTTTTTTACAGACATCTTTCTTTTGAAGGAGTAGGAGGATTACTGCATCTGCCCGTTTCTATTTCTAGTTTAAGAGAATCACAACGAAGAGAAGCTAAACTACTTCGCTGGTAACGTGGGAGTTCCACATAAAATTCTGTAAATCAAACTATCATGTTCTGAGCTTTGGCTGAGACTGAAGACGCTGAAACCAGGTGCACAATTACTTTACTTAAAATCCACCCTGGGGGCTTATCAAGGGAGTAAAGAATAGCGTTCAGTCCAAAACTGTTAACAATACACAACTTCTTGTCGGGACTTTGATTTGTCACATTGGAAGGCAACAGATTCGATTTTCTTAAAAATGGGAAAAAGCTCGCCACACAGACTTCCCAGAAAGCTGTGTTGAACTGAGTGGTCAGGTTTAATTCTTCAGAAGAACAAGCGTGATCGGTAACTTCTGTGCTGGTAGTTTACCTTTTAATCTCTGAACACCTCTCTTGGTCATCCCAGGGACCAGACTGGCCACGAAGGTACAGAGACAGACGAGGAGGGGACGTATCTACGGCGACAGATCCAAGTCTGCATCTCTAACCTGGACCATTACAAGCCAACAGTGTGGCGGGATGCTACAGTGACGTTCATTGGCTTACAGGGTCATGAATATGTGGTATCCTCTGGCCGCGGACGCTACAGATTCATGGTCCACCTTGATGCTCGAGACGAAATAACCTTTTCAAAAATGAAATAATAAAATGCTATAATGAGACTACAACTGGAGCATGAGTACACCGTTACATGAGGCACATGTGTATGCCAGTCTCTAAACGTGTGGGTCGGTCGGGTAGTCTAGTGGTTAAAGCGTTCGCTCGTCACGCCGAAGACCCGGTTCGATTCCCGACATGGGTACAAGTGTGAAGCCCATTTTTTGGTGTCCTCCCCCGTGATATAGCTGGAATATTGCTAAAAGCGGCGTAAAATCAAACTCACACACTCACTCACTCATCACTGTCGGCTGTCAGCCACACCGTCCATCAATATGAAGCCGCCTTTCCGGAATCAGTTCTTCCGCCACGTTCGGTGTGCCATCCCAGTTGCATTCAATATGCTGATCACGTGGTCTTGTGTCTCGTCAAATCAAGAGAGCATTCTTCAGAAAATAAGTACCTGTCCCTAAGAATTTTGAAGAAACACCTTGAAACTGACCATGATTTACTTGTTACAAAGTACAAACTATGGCAGCTGTTGCACACATTGGGTTACAAATACAAAAAGATAACTGGAGAAAATAGGGTTGTGTTGTGTGAACGGTCTGACATTGTTCGTCTCCGAAATCATTACCTGCCATCCAGGAAAGAAAGATCTTCTTTGCCTTTCTAAACACTCTAAACAAACTTTGTTGTATTTATTAAGATTTTAGATAAAAACATTGATCCTATTTTGTTGTAAGGGGCTAGGATATGGGGTATCTCGAAGTTAGACTTTATTTAAAGAGTACACGCCAATGCATGTAAACGAGTTTGAGGATTTAAGATAAACTGAGCAAATGCAGTTGTGTATGGTGAATGTGGTGGATATCTATTATTTATATAAACAGTAAATTACGGTTATAACGAACACGCTTATAACGAACTGACGGATATAACGAACTTACTTTTTTGGTCCCGACTATTTGCTGTTGTTATACTGTATATATGCTTAAAACGAACTACGGTTATAACGAATTACAATTAGTAGTCCCTTTGAGTTCGTTATAACCGTACTTTACTGTACGCAGATTAACATGATACCGTATTGGGTACAATTATTACACATGCCTCCTTACAGATACCCAAGAACATGTTATGAAATGACGCTATTGTATGATATAGTTCTGGAAGCGTAGATTGAGTCTTATCTGTTCAGGAAAATATGAATGAATTTGGTTTGGGTTATGTAGAAAAGGAAGAATACCCTGAACATTGTATAAACATGGTCACTCAAAAACTAAAGGATGTGTATATACAGAAATGTAACTTGGCATTAAGATTATCAACAAAATGTGAATATGTACTGTTTTAAACTTAGGTTTCAATTCTTTTGAAACGTATTTTGCAAAAACAATATAATGTATTTTCCTCGAATAAGATGCTCATCGCATACTCTTAACATTGAACAGACACGTATTAGAAGATAGAGTTTGTAGGTGAGGTGAGGTGGGTTTAACGTCGCGTCCAAAATTATTGCACTTATAGAGCGACGTGCATGCACGTGTGTGTGTGTTTGTGTGTGTTTGTACTAGTCCAGTCTGATGCCGATTTATAGTGCTAGCTCACTTAGATACCTTGCTGCAGTTTAACATGGATACCCCACTCAGACAAAGTATACTGACTCCGAGCCGACCTGTTTTAGCCCCTTAATGCCGAGCGCCAGACAGGGTAACAACAAGTACCATCTTTTAACGTCTTTTGGTAGGACGCGGCCGGGGATCGAACCCCGGACCTTCCGCTCTCCGGGCGGACGCTCTACCACTAGACCACGGAGGCGGCGTAGAGTTTGTACATTGTGCAAGGAACCGGAAGTAGTAGATGAGTACCATCTTTTCTTTGTATGTCCAGTATTCGAGCATTTGCGTTTTGAATATTTATCGCCATATTTATACCAGCCACCAAACATATTAAAGTTTATTGTACTTTAGAAAATGTCAACGTGACATCATATGTATTTCAAGCAAA